TGTTCTTCTTATAAATGAGAACTTTGGACTTCCCAGTTAGCAGCTTATTTTTCTTCGGTGGCAAGGAGTGAGGCTCTGCTGGCAACCAATTATTATCTGATTTAAGCTAAGAGTTCTAAGATCTTGATGATGCTCTTGTTATCAACCTTGGAGGCTAATTATGTCAAGGCATTGATGAGTGGCTAGTTGAAAATAGTAAATAGAAAATACCTTGAAAAGTGCGTGTTTGCTTTCCATCAATTTAGCTTAGACTTTTTCGAATCTACTCTTTAATTGAGCGAATGCAACACCAGCTTATAAATGTTGAACGATCTTTGATGCTTCATCGATGGCGTCCATTTAATCAACATGTTCAGCATCCTTTCTAACCCATGTTTCGTGTTGGGATTGTCTGGTGGCTGATTCGTCAGCGAAGCTCTTTTCGTTATTGGCAATATCTGATGTTACGACTCTGACTTCTGATTCAGCTTCACCCAAAGCTTCGGTGGTGGAATCTCTCAAGTTGGACAAGGCAACAATTTAGGATTAGTGATAAGCAATTTCTTATTCTAAGTCGGCAATGATTTTCTCAAATGCAACTGTGTCACTTTCATGAACTTTGTCAGCTTTCTTTTAATCTCCATTCAATTATGAGGCAATGTTGTTCAAAAGGATTTAGATCTCACCAACGGGTCCTCCTGTAGCTAATTAAAGTTGGAGAACTGAAAGGATTGAATTTCCAAAGGAATCCTTATTAACTTAAGCCAAAATCTCTTTTGGACTTTCGCTCTTTGTCACTCTAGCTGTGGCAACTGCAAACACAATAGCCAATATTGTTAATGATCTAGCCATTTTTTTTATTATTAATCAACAACTCAACCATTCTCAAGCGATTTACACTTATTACCCGTTTTTCCTAATACTTTATACTAGCATATATATATATATAATACGTTTTTAATTTAATCATTTTTTTACATAGAATAATTCTTTTCCCTCCAATTCCGTTTCCATTTCATTCGACCTCATCCCACCTATAATTAGAGACAATCTAAGACTATACGCTCATTGCTCTCTCCACTCTATTCTATACTCAATTTGATTAGTGTCAAATAGTAAAATCAAATTGATAAGAGTTGATTGAAGGTTGGATTGTCCTTGATTTCATTAATTTTGCTGTGCAAAGATTGAGATTTAAATTTTATAGGTTGTTCATTTTTATATAAATTGTATATCTTAAAAATTCCTAATTGATACAATACTATTTGTCCTACTGTCTTTTGAAGATATTGAAAGAAAAAACTGTTGGTCGCCATGCTTGTATTCTGTTCTCTTTGAATGGACCCTTCTCCTGCATACTATTTGTATTAAGAATAATATATATATACATTTTTTAAAATAAAAATTAATGAACTCATCCAATAACCCTTAAATAAACAAAAATCTTTATTTAATTTTTATATGAGTTCAGAAGAAGAGGAAGATAAACAATATAATATCGATTAACTCCTTCATTAGATTACACAAGTATTATTTATTTTATCCTTAAGATTGAGAACACTCGATAAGTCAATCCGCAATTCAGAAAAGTCTAAGAACCAGAATTTAATCTAGTTTTTAATCTCAAACGTCCTCCAGTAGAAGACTTGTCCTTGGAAGAGGCTCGACTCTGCTATTTGGAAAACAAGAGGTAGCAAGGTTAGTTGTCTCATTATAATTTAATTAGTTTTCCAGAGGAAGACTCATGAAGCCAAAGACAAGAAATATGCATACGCAGCTAATAATCAAAGCAAAATATAAAATAAATTACTATTGTTCTTTTCCAAAGTATTCCGAGATCAACCAAACATGGTTGAAAAATTTTTGTATGATAAATACAGCCACAAATAAGAAACAACATTGGAATAGTAAATACACATTGGAATCGTAATTATCATCACTTATGTAGTCCTCCCGCTAATTTGAGCCTGCTTTTCAATCAAATAAATTGCCTTAGCTTGGGTACAATTTTGAAGATGCATTCAAAATTTAGTATACAGATTCCAGAATGGGAAAAGCAAATATAAAAAAGTAAAGAAAAGTAAAAACTTATCATCAATCTTAGCTTAAAAACGATTGCTAGGCTTCAACTTAGAATGACTATTTTAACACAATTATACAATAGGAGTTATATGAAGATCCTATTGAAATTGGAGATTGGAAGAAAAGTTGGGCCATCGTTGTGAGGAATGCCGTCAAAATTAGTAGATTCAAAGCCAAGTTCAGATAAGATTTAAGAGAATTTTTTAAAAGAATAGCCTACTTTGCTGCCAAAGAGGCAAGAAGAAGGAATTAAAAATGTTAAAAATATTAAAAAGAATTTATGTTAAGAGCCAAAAAATTATCAAAGGAGGCACAATCGTATTGGAGAAAGAGAGATAAGGAATTGATTGAAATCAAGAAAAGAAAAGAAAAATTAGAATAAGAGAGAAAGAAAAAGGAAGAAGAAGAGAGAGAATAATTATTACAATAAAAAAGATTAGAATTTTTAATGAAGTAATCAGACATTTATGCACACTTTATGGCTAAGAAACTAGGAATAACTTTAGATAATCAAATTTCATTAAATAATGACGAGATTGATGAAGAAAAAGCACTCGAAAACGTCTAGAAAGTAATCAATGATAATAGAAAATAATTGTAATAATTTGATGGAAAAAAATAAGAAAATGTTTAAATATAAGAATTAAAATTAGATCACAATGATTAAGATAGAGATTTCTCATTGATAGCACCTCCTTCTACATTTAAAGGAGACTTAAAAGAGTATTAATTAAAAGGACTTAGATGGTTGGATAACCTATATGATTAGGGTATTAATGGCATATTGGCGGATGAAATGGGATTGGGAAAGACTATTCAAGCTATAGCATTGTTATCACATATAAGTTCCTTTAAATAAATATGGGGTCCTTTTTTAGTGATTGCTCCTTCCTCAACTTTACATAATTGGTAATAGGAAATTAAAAAATTTTGTCCTACTTTAAAAGTTTTGCCATATTGGGGTCAGGCATAATAAAGAAAGACAATAAGAAAATATTTTTAATAAAAAAACTTTGGTTCTAGAGAATCTCTCTTTCACATAGTAGTTACATCATATAATTTAGTAGTATCGGATAATAAAATATTCAATCGAGTAAGATGGCAATATATGATTTTGGATGAAGCTTAAGCAATTAAGAATATTAACTCTTAGAGATGGTAGATTTTGTTATCATTTAATGCAAGAAATAGATTATTATTGACAGGTACTCCAATATAAAATACAATGGGTGAGTTATGGGCATTATTGCATTTCATAATGCCTAGATTTTTTGATAGTTTTGATTAATTCTAGGAATGGTTTTCAAAAGACATAGAAGCACATTCTTAAGATTAAAAGACCTTGAATTAGCATTAATTATAAAGATTACATGCAATTTTGAAGCCATTCATGTTAAGAAGGCTAAAGAAAGATGTGGAGAATGAGATAGGATAGAAGAAGGAAGTCTAGATTGTTTGTGAGATGACCAGTCGATAGGCTGTATTGTATAGGAATGTGAAATCTAAATTATCAATAAAAGAGTTCTTTAGGATGTTGGATTCAAAATAAAAGGTTGATAATTTAATGAACTTGGTTATGTAGTTTCGTAAGATATGTAACCATCCTGAATTATTTGAAAGAAAACCTTACAAAAGTCCTTATGTATTTTAGGATAAATAGAATGTTGAGGTTTATTAGAAGAACCCTATTGTCTAAGTAACCAAAAGAAATCCAATAAGCTTCGTTGTTCCTAAATTGGTGTATGATAATCTGATTAAAAATACGAAATGCCTATTCACAGCACATTACATATACAACTCATTAAAGAATGGAGAGTCTACATTTTCATATTTATTGTTCAAACATTTGCCTTTGAGTTTGTTTGAGAAAAATGTATTTGATTTGATTGATCTCCTGTGTCAAAAGAAGGATTCATCAACTTTAGTGAATTATTCTATTTCAAAGTAATTACAGTTTTATATTCCTCCAGTTCAAAGCTAGATTATATCATTTGAATGTAGATCACAGTCATTTTATTATTAAATTCAACAGTGTTTATACAATAGATAGGCACTTTCATTTATCAAAGAATCCCCTGCCTCTTTTATTTTACCTAATAGTCCTGAATCTTTGATTGCCTCATCATCTAAATTGCTACAATTGGATAAATTGCTTAAAGAACTCAAATAGAAATAATGGCGCGTCTTGATTTTCTGTTAGATGACAAGAATGTTGGATATACTGGAAGAATACATGTTACATAAAGGTTACACTTACTTTAGAATGGATGGACAATGTTAAATCAATGACAGAAGAGATGTATTACATAATATTATATTTAGATGGTTAATGAGTTCTAATAAAATGATAAGATATTTGCATTTCTTCTATCTACAAGAGCAGGTGGTTTAGGAATTACATTAACATAAGCTGATGCTGTTATATTTTATGATAATGATTGGAATCCAACTATGGATGCTTAGGCTACTGATAGAGCTCATAGAATAGGTAGAACCAAAGATGTCTATGTATATCGATTGATCACTAAAGGCACAATTGAGGAGAGAATAGTCAAGAGAGCACAATAAAAATAGAATGTTTAATCAACTGTGTATTCTGGCGGATTTCAAGGTGACAAATTCAAACCTTAAGAAGTATCTAATTGTATTTATTCAGGTATTTGAATTACTGTTTGGAGAATAAGAAATGGATGAGACGGTGGCTAATAAGTTTATGGCTAAAGGGCAAAAGAAAAAGAAGAAGCCTGTGAAAGTGGAATAGAAGGATACATAGAAAGAAGTATCAAAAGAATAGAAGGAATAATAAGAAGAGGAAGATATTATAGAAGTTGATCTCAGAGAATTGGAGATGAATGAAAAGGATGGTGAAGATGCTGATTGATGATTTAATAATAATAATATTGTAATTCTAATGAACAATATGAAATAAATGTTAACGCTCATTTGAAGAATGGAGCTATTATATTAAGGAATCCCATCATAGCACCTATGAGCATTATGATATAATAGAAAATGAATCTAGTCTGCTTGTTAAATCTCTTCTTAATTGTTGAATGATCAATGCATTTGAAATCCATTTCATCGAATATCGATTCGTCTGGGTTCTCTATGTACTCCTTTGAATCATTAATCAATCCAATCCTATTGTCATTGACCTTCTTCTTAGCATAAAGACATGTCATATGTAATTATATTGGAATCAGGTAAATTTAGAAAAATCCAATTACAGCTCCTGACAAACTCAATATCAAAGATACACTAATATTGAGACATTAAAATAGTAGAGTACTGAACGCAACTATTGATGTGTATAACACAAACCACTTCTAAGGAGGCTACTCCAATTTATATATTAATGCGAAAAATTGTGATCTGGTAATAAATGCTAACAATGGGAAAACAGTTGTTAGTTAAAGCAATTGCAACACTTAAATTCCATAAGAAAATATGCTCTAATCCAAATAATCTAAGACAGTAGATCCATCACCTGAAGGGTTAACAGCTTTTCCTTATATTGCTATGGCTCCAAATACACCCACCAAAGCATAAATCAGCCAAGTCCAACCAAAACTAATTGCAATATCCCTCAAATTATTTTGTTATTGCAGATTGTTTTTCATTATTGGAACTATGCAAGAATGTACCATAAATGCTACGGAGAATACACCACATAGGGTTACAACATCTAAAGTGAATAGATTGGCATTCACAATCTCTGGCATATTAATGCTACCATTAGTGATAATATAAATAATCAATGCTATGATTGATATTACTCCATATTGAACTAGTTTGATAATTAGGGTAAGATTCTTTTACAACATAATAAGGAATAACAAACACATATAAACAATCCCACACCATTGATATGATAATTTGCCCAGGACAAAATCAGTTTTAGGAGCATAGTCCATTTCTAATGACCTGCATATTAATTAAACTAATGAGTATAACATATTGCATATTAAAATAAAATAGACGACACCAGCAAAGTATAAAATTATGATATTGGTTATATTAAAAATTAAGTTATACTTCTACCCAAGTATTCTAACAATTGTTTATGGCAAATCTAATTCTTCAGGTTTATTGTGTACCATTTATAGTTAACAAGTCTTACAAGATATTAAGCAAAATACTAGTGCCACAATTAATGCACTCAAAATACCTGATTGTTAAAATAGCACAGGTATTACCAATAATGATGATCCTACCATTGTATTGCTTACACTTAATATTGTTTATAAGGAGCTATTTTTTGGAGCATTTGCTAAACTGGCTTTTAATATTGATTTTCTCAGTGACTTCTTTTGAGCAAATGATAGATTGGGATTCTAAATAACTTATTAATCAATTTCTTATTATAATAAAGCATCATTTGCTAATGCATTTGCCATTTATGTTAAAATTGTATAAAATTAAAAAAAATTTTAGTTCGAAACCAAAATAATAATCGCATGCACTTTCAAAGAATTTTAGAAGCTTATGAACAGCGCTGGTTGGAACGCAATGATTAGAATAAAAAGTTTAGAACAAAAAAATTAATTACAGACACTCCTGACATCAAAGACTTGATTTTAATGAAAGAAGTAAAATCTCATTTTATTCATACTTTAATTCTTAGAATATACCATTATCTAAACAGTAATAAACTAACCAATCAAAAGCAGTGCCAAAGAAAATTCGATTGAAATAACAATTGCAAGAAGAATGCCCAATTTGTATGATAAACTTAGATGATTTATCAAATGTCTGTGAAATTGATGTCTGCAAACATTAGATATGTTTAACTTGTATAAAAGAATGGGCAGAAAAATATAAAACATAATGTCCGTATTGCAGAGCTAAATTCAAAAAAATTTATCCAATCGAAAATGGCAAAAGAAAGAACTCTCCTATCAAATTAAACCTTAAATAACCCAAATGGCAACCAGAACAAGATCAATTTTATAATTCTTAGGAAGAACAAGAAGAAAATTAAAAGTGCTAGCTTTGTGGATGTTCTCACTCATAGTATTTAATGTTGATATGTGATAAATGCAATGAATAAATGTGTCATACATTCTGTGATCCAGGTTTTTTAGAGTTTTTTGTGCCTGAAAAAAATTGGTACTGTCTGGATTGCCGTAAATCTAAATTAGTTTATCACAAGCCTAAATGATATTTGACATACTTATTAATATTGATATTGTTAACTATTCAATTGCTAAAGAAAATTATTATCTAAATATTAGTTCAAAACATAATATATTTATAATAATTTAATTAAATTTTAGTTCAAAATTATTAAATATTTTATAAGAACTTATTATTTAACTTATTTGTATGAAAGTAAAATTGTTGAATACATTCATCATTTCTTTATTGTTATTATATCATTGTAATAAATTTTATTACTTTTTATTAAATATATAATTCTAGAGCTATTTTAAAATGATACAATTATATAATCAATTACTATTTATGTAAAATCCAAACCTATTAATAAGACATTTTATTTAATTCTTAGTAATAATTATAATAATTAGACTCTAAGAGTGATTGTTATGTTCTTTATTAGAATAAGGTATTTTATTAACTCTTATTTATGGGATATTATAAATAAATCACTGTTTCTTTTTGTTTAAATAGTTCAACGCCTTATTTAAACCTTCAACTTAAAACTTGGCTCCTTAATTGACAATGGCCTTAGGAATATCGCCTTTTGGATTCATGTGGCCTATCATAATGATGTTGGTTTTTCCATTTGGTAATTTTTTGACTATCCAACCAGCAAATATCATTTCAGCTCTTTAAATTCCTTTAACTAAGGGTGCTTAAGGATGTTCAATTGATTTTGCTACAGGATATTTACTAATAACTTACTAATAGCTAGATAATGACCATCTCCCAATTTATAAACTCTCGTAATAACACAGAAGTCTCTAGCATCAACAATGAATACAGGTGGTTTTCCTCTTGCATAATATATAGTAGTATTTTGATCGAGCTACTCAATAACTCTTCCCTGAGGAATATTCCATATAATACCTCTTCGAAATTGGAATCGTATTCCTTCTTTTTGGTCATATTTGTAACCAAACTGATAAAGGCCTCTGGGTCAACATCAACTTGTGCTTCGATTCTGTTGATTTTTAACTCGTTCTATGGATTCAGCTTTGTATGGATAGTGCAACCATCTTTAACAGAATCTTGAACCCATTGATTCTCTGGTGTTAACTCTGATAGTCCCAATACCTTTGATTTGGTTTCTTCGAGGAGTTGTTCATAATTGATGTTCATCTGAGATTGTTGATAATGATATTTTCAATTCTTTATAGCGTTAATTAAATTTAAATCAATTTTTATAATCAGAATTAATTAGAAAATTGTAAAATACTATAAAAATTATTTATGTTTATAAATTCATCAACTTAATAATGGTTCTATCTTTTTAGGAGAGACTGACAATAGCTTAGTCAAACGAGTATCAAGATTACCAAATGGTAGTTCTACTAAGAGTGACAGCATCAATCCAAATATCACCGAAAGGAACACAGCACAAACAAATCCTGTCACTAGATCTAACTAGTAAAATGATGGAGTTTCATAAAATGTCTCAGTAATTATAACAATCGTCATCAAATGAACCAAATACATTGAAAATGATATCTTAGCCATAAATTTAAACAGAATGTTATTCATAAACTTACGGTTAAATCTATGCTTTAAAAATATATCAATACATATCATATGCACCAACTAAATTGGGTAGTGTAATCAAGGTAATGGCAAATGTAAATAGAAATCTGCATATTGCGTGATAGAAATGTTAAAACCATTGAGGCCATAATAATTACACACTATTGAATTCTTTCTTCCATCCCAAAAATTAAAAGAGCACCAAACCAGCACCTATTCCATAACATACAATCTAGAATAATATTCTACTTCCACTCGTTTAAATTAAGGATTTACACTAATTGAGAATGTTAAAACTTCCACTCCCCTTTGATTATTTTAACTCTCTATACAAAATACCTATAAGTAACCCCAAAAAGTAAGGAGGTGCTCTTGCATATGTGCTTACATAGTATTTATAGTAGTAATCAGGGTTATAAGTATTCTTACCAGGAATCAAGAAATTATAATGGATACTTAAATAGTATCCCCATCCTAAACTACCTAAAATCATCAACAAAATTAAGATTTTCGATCCAGTCTTATAATTTAGACAATAAATCATTATTGGAATTAGGCAAGTTAAGAACAATTGGAAGTCGCATGTTAAATACCATCCCCATCCAAAACATAGTTGCCAATCTTCATAAAAATTATCAATAAATAATGCATTCTTCCATGCCCCTCCTGGACATTGGGTGGCTCCTTCCTCTAAAAACCATCTAGGTCCACTTCCTAAGTATGGGATTATATACGAGTTGATAGCAATACATAAAAGATAACATGGCCAAATTCTCATTAACCTATGAACTACAGATATAACTATGGAAAATGGATATTTCTTCAATGATTAAGTTTTCTTATCATCGCACATTACATAGCCTAAGAAGAATCCTCCAATCCAAAAGAAGATATCAACTGCATACATCATATCATATAAAATTATGATACTCCATTACTTATATTGTAACATTGCTTCTTATATATAAGTGGATGTAGCAGTCATTTCACATACATGTCCATACACAACCATCATAAATGATATAGCTCTAATACCATTGAACATGGCCAAATTTGGATCAATTGTCTTAAGATTCATAATCTTTTTATAATTTGAAATTATTGAGAAATCTTTAACTATAAGGTTTTAGTTCTCCTAAGGTTCACCTTTTGTTGTAACAGGAGTACTAGCTTAGTCATCCTTAATATCATCTCGATCATCAGGAGTATGAGAACTTTAACAGGCTTTAATCAATCTCATAATTGGATCTATTAAAGCCATTATAATCAATATGATCAGTATAGTTGAAGTAACATATGTTCCTAATCCAAGATGAGGATAATATGTTAAGGGATTATAGAATCTTAAGGTTGTTATTTCTAAATTCATCTAGCTGTTATTTCAAAATCATACCTATAATAAATTGGCTATTCCGCTCACATTAAGCAAGTTCTTTATGATTATTTGTGCATCTTGAGAATTAAAATCATGAGCAGAGCAAATGTTAGAATGGCAGAATCCATAATTCAATTTGTACAAGATTTAATCTATTTGGAGTGAAGTATATGTCTTATCTTCTCTTAAGCATCTATCATAATATCCAAACTTCTCGACCCAGTTTCCAGAGATTGAATAGTAAGGTAATACGAGTTGCAATTATTAGTTAATTGGCAGGGATAGTAAATTATTCATTTCTTGAATGCAGACTGATGTATTATCTTGTGAAAAGCTGAGCACTTCTAAAATCAGGAAAGACAATATATACATTATTATTTATAAAAGAAATTATTTTGTTTATAATTGGATATATACTAGCAAAATTTTCAATTAATTATAAATTACAATTACAAAAATAGAAATGGATATGATCAGAAATTGGATCATGAATATTATTTTCTATATTGATTTATGAAATATTATTATCTCAATTTAATATTATAGCTTTCACCTCTTCAATTCCATACTTAGCTCTACACACTGGACAGGCTCTATTTCGATTTTTTTGATTGTCATCAATACAAGGTTTACAGAACATATGCAAGCATTTCATTAGAATAACTTGTTTTACTCTTTTTTTACATTATTGACAATCAACCATCATTTTTAAAGATGTCAATAGTTCATTATCAGTATCTTTAGATTCTCTATAAATAATATATTATAATTACAATTTCATCTATAACTTCAAATATTTGAGTTTGCTCTTAGACTTCTCCGCCTTTTTAATGAATTTTACATTGATTGACTCACTCAATTTCTCTCTTTCCTATATAATTTTACTTTCTTCTAAAATTTTATTAACATCCCATTCTTTTTATAGCAATCTCTGTTAGCTTTCACCTTCTGACTTTTGTAACATTCTCATTGTTTCTTTGTAACTCATTCTTTCATTTTCAATTAGACTTAAGTTTTTTTTTTATTAATCATTCTACGATTGTAATTGTTTGATTGTGTCATCTGCAATTTGTATCTTTTATTAAAATTGCTATTAAAATATAGATTGATGATCATACTTATCTTTCTGTTTCAAACCTTATACGCTCATCCACCTTCTCTTACATAGCTCTGCTCAAATTCTTTTAGGTTTCATTTACAAGTTTGCTTAGATTCTTATTAGTCTCATTAATAGAATTAAAAGAATTTGAATTATAATCCAATTCGTCAATCAATTATTGTATTTACTGAAATTATATAATACTACTTGTTTACCTTCTTTATATTATTGCAATCATTTGTCTTTGCTTCCAATTATTGTTCCAATCCCTTCACTTTTTCATCTCTCATCTTAACATACCCAACAAATTCTCTAAATCTTTGAATGAATTCATTAGATTTCGTATTTGCATACTCTTATTCTATTTCATACAACAATTATTTATGTTTTTCATATCTCAGAGTCACTTGTTCTATCTTCTCATCTTTTGATAGTATCTTATGAACACTTATATATTATTTCAATTCATTATTTTAATTCAATAATGTCTGTTTCTAATTTATTAATTCAACCAATTGATTTTATGCTTCTTTATTACGTTCTCTGCATTATTACAATTCAATCTTTAGATCCTCAATCATTTTTGATGAATGTTCCACTTAGGATTTCAATTCTTCAATCAAAGTATTCTGTATCTAATCATCATTCTATTTGATCTCTATTTTTATAGTATCTTGCTATGAAAATAAATCTTTTATTTTTTATTCGCACTCCAATTGAACCTACTGTATTTATTGCTAATTTTTCTCTAGTTGTTCTTTATTGATCAATTAAGCCTACGTTAATGATGAAAATTATTACCTATATCAATTGCTCCTCGATGTTGAATAGCGTAGTTGTTAGATAGTTATTTTATTATACTAAATCTGCAAATAACTGTGTTTGAAAGAATTGTTCTTCAGGCAACTTCTATTGCAATTTCAACTCTTCAATCTGATGGAGCAATTGAGCCTTCTCTTCCGAAGATTCCTAGATCAATTTCTTTATATAATCTCTAATTATTTAAGTATTTTTTACTTTTGATTAGATTGAGTTTATTAATTATTTTCTTCCGGTGGTTGGATTTCTTATTATTATTATTACAATATTTATTGATGACCATTTACAAGTAAATATTTAATAGAATCAATCTAATTAGCACCACATAGACATTCAAAATTCTCTTGTTAGATATCTTCTTGAGCCACTTTTTTTTGAATTGCCTCCTCATTATAAGCCATAATGATTCGTATTCTTCGAGACAGTTAATTACTCAGTTTTTTATAATATATCAGTTCCTCCGATTAAACTAGCTCTCGCTCTGTCTATTCTGGTAACTAGAAACTAGATATATTGGGTTGTTGTATACAGATCTCATATTTTAAATCTCCTTCTTTAATTAATCGATTTTAGCAGCCAACATAGTATTTTAAGTTTTCAAAATGTGTTCCCCTAATTCTGTAACTCTCTACTGTTCATTCTTCTTCTTAATTTTCATATTTAAATTTTTAATATTTTATATATACTTTCATATAAACCTTATAATCCAAATGTTTTGGAGGAAAAATTGTATTTCATCAAATATACAAATCAATTTATCATTTTCATTCAAAACCAACTTCCATATAGTAATTGCATCCATTTTCCAAGGAGGGTTATTTAGACTTAATATTTAATTTAAATAAACTACTGAAATAAATGAATGACTTCGGGATAAAAAACAACAGATTTCAATAAAAGGCAGTAAACAGATAGCAAGATTCAGTAGAAAGGTAAAATAATCTTGAGAAGCAAAAACCGAACAAGATCTCGCAACAATCTTAAAATGACTCCCAAATTAAACAGGATAGGAAAGGATCAATTACAGTCATAGGTCCGCCAACCCCAATAATGGAATGCCATGTACCAATTTTTGAGCCAGCAAAATTCATTAATGATATTACAAATAAAAAAAAATGAATAATGAATTTATTATCATAACTGGATTCTCTAAACCATCCTATTTATCATAGTTTCTTCTGTTGTTTGTTATTATTCTATTTATTTGTTTATAATGCACAAAAAGAATGTGGTAATATTAATAAAGAATAGAATCAGAATAAATAATTTAAGTATTAAATTTTGATAAATGAATTTTAATTTACCATAATCATAATCATAATAACAATAAAATAAAATTGTCGATTAATTAGCTTTAGAATGCTCACTGTTTAATTTGACTAAAAAATGCTTTGTAATATGTTCATAAAAGATTAAAAATCACTATAATATTAATTCACTATTTGAAATTGAAGAAAACAAGAGGGAAAAAATGATTGAATAATTTGATAATTGTATTGATAGTTGTTCATTTGAGTATGCGTAATTTAGAACTCAGGTACGTAAATAATTTGTAGATGATATGACCAAAGTTAATGATAAAAATGATCAAGTCTATAATTCATTTTATAAGTGAGATTAATAAATGACATAAACATATATTCATTTTTCACAAATACATTAATTATTTAATATTTCATATGAATTTTCATTATTCAATGAAAAAATTATAGATAAGTTGAAATTATTTCAAAATAAGAATTATCTATTGTTTTCTTAATTATATTTGATCAAACATTGTCCAATTAAATCACATCTATTATGAGTACTAATTTAAAACATTATCCAAGTCACTTTACAAATTTGATTCGTTCTAGCTTGATTCCTTTGCTTTTACACTTTTATAATTATCAATTTTAGAGAATTTAATATAACCATTGCTATCACAATTTGTAATCTCCTATTACTTTTATTCTAAATCAATCTAATCGCTCAAATCGGGTTCAATAATTAAGTTATAGTTAGGGAGCTCAACTTTTTTCTTGACACTAATTTAATTAGTTTTAGACAAGGATTTACCTTATAATCCTTAAAATTAAGGAGAATTTGGCTCAATTTAATCAGCTTCGACTTCATTATCTAATAAGAAAGTGTGTTTAATCACAGTAGATTCTTTTTTGGGAACCTTTTAAGTATTTTTGGAAATAGAATTAACTTAGGATTTCTTCAAAAAAGAATGATTGAGTAATTAATCAACTGTGGCTCTTTTTTTAGGATCAACTTATAAACATAGTGATAGAAAATGTCTAGATTCATCAGATACCAACTGAGGAGGAATAGGAGGAGGCTTAGTTGATTTGCCAATTCTGACCATGATTGCAATCGCATCCTTTAATTCTGAGAATGGTGGTAGACCTGTGGCCATTTCAATAATGGTACATCCTAAACTCCAAATATCTGCCTTTTTTCCATATTATTCTTGATTGATTACTTCGGGAGCCATGTAATTGGGAGTTCCACAAATAGAACCAAGTGTGTCATGAGCAAAATCACTCAATTATTTACTGCTTCCAAAGTCTATAAAGAATTACACCTTATTTTACCAGCTAATTTGCACTTCCCAGAATTATCAATTAGAATATTACCTCCTTTGATATCTCGATGAATTACATTTTGTGCATGTAAATAACTCAATCCTAATAAAATTTATCTCAGATATGTCTTAATCAGACTTTCCTTAAAACAACCGAACCTTTCAAGCATGGATTACACGGAACCTCCACTGACATATTCAAGAAAAATATTAATAAATTAATTTTTTTGCTCACAACCTAAGTATCTGACTATGTTTGGATGTTGTAATTTGCTAAGCATTTAGATTTCCTTCTGTAACTATATAACTCTCTATAAAATAGACAAGGAGACTCTTACTTGATCATTAAAATTCTATATGAAAACCTATTTGACTGCCATAATTTAACCATTCTTTTGAAGTCCCATTACTACTTTTCCAAATGCACCTTATCCAAGAACTTCCCCTTATACCCAACTATCAGTGCTGAAAATAACTACTTATATACTCCAAATTTGAATGAAGGGAATCTTTATCTTACTCATCTTCTGAATGATTCAATATTATAACTTAAATATCTTGAATAAAGGATTGCTTAATGTCTTGTTTGTTCTCTTCAACTTAAGGATTTAGAGTATATCTATAAGCTTTTAGGGAGGATTTCTATTTTTTAATGAGACAACATCCCATTGTTTTTAATTAAAGAAATTTAATGTTTGGCAAAACACTAAAAATTTAGGGATCTGTTCTTTTGAAGGGAAAAGACAAAGATAACTTTGAGACTACGCTTAGGAAATAATTCGATGCACTAACAGTCAAAAAGATCTTTGAGGATTCTGAATAGTGTATGCAAGAGAAGCTAGTTGGATCAAAGATGATAATTTATCATACAGATGAATATCCAGCCTTTGTTGATGGTACAGGGAAGGAGGATTATGTTCCATCATGTAAATATTTATAGAGATATCGATTAGTGTTTGTTGTGGCTGAGTATCCAAGATTAGTTGGTACTTTGATATTAAAAGATGGAATTGATGAAGCAGCAGTACTCAAGGCAGGAAAAGTGTTATGGACTTAAATAAGTAATTAAGGTAAATTGGGAGAATTCAAGAAGGATGCTATTAAGAAGTTGTTAAATCATTAAAAGAAGTAATTACAATAGAATATCTAGATTATTGGCAATTATAGCAATTGGTTGTGATTCTATAGATTTATAGAAAGAATAGGAGAAGGGAATAGCAGGATATATTTTGCATAAACAAGGGGATAAATTATGGGAGCATGGTCCAAATGAATTGGGTTAGCCAATTGAACCAGAAAACTTTGATGAAGTCTAAGAAACTAAAACACAAAACTATGAGGAATATTCAGATGATGAAATTGATTTGAATATGATTGCACCTGGAGCAAAGAAACCAGCAGCTAAAAAAGAATAGAAAAAAACAGCCAAAGCTAAACCAGTTTAATAATAACAATAACAGTAATAGTAATAATAAGTTAAACAACAATTCTCAGACGATAGTGATGATGACAATAAACATAAAAAAGGTGCTTAAAATAAGCAATAATAATAGAAATAGCAACAACAGTAATAAGTTGGAGGTGTTCCTACAAAAGTAATGGATGAATACATTAAGGAATCATTTTTAAATGCTTGCAAAATTGGCATTAATGATAAATAATTGCCTTTAGAAGGATAAGTATTTTATGAAAAGTATATGCTTGCATTTAAGAAACCAGGAATTGAATTAGATCTTAAGAATTCTTCATATCAAAAGATTGGAAAGTAAATGCTTATTAATATTTCATAGATTTTTGTAGACTATGTAAAAGGAGGGTTTGATTGAATACAAGGAAGTCAAAAAGGGAGGATAACCTTCAATAACTAAAATTGATAGATAACATGAATAAATTACTGATTGGGAACCAACAGTATTAAAGGCAGCAAAAAAAGGGGATGAAGAAAAAGAAGAAAAGAATCAAGTTGCTTAATATAAATAGAATATCGAGGTTACTGATCTCTTTTTACCAGTTGGCCCTTTGGTGAAATTATTCGCTAAAGAAGGTGAGGAGAATTAAAAAGTTGAACCATTAACAAGAGAATAATATATTTCATAACTGAATTAATACATAAAGAAGAATTTGAAATAGGAGAAAAAGATGATAGTATTGACAGAAGATTTGGTTAATGAATTAGGAATAAAAGAACATTAATCTGATAGTGAAGATGAATAACAAGAAGAATAAGATAAGGAGAAAGAGAAAGAAAAAGAAAAAGAGAAGGAATAGAAAAAAAAATAACCATAAAATTAGATTACTTTGGAAAGATTATACAAGAGAATCGAAGAACTTATGTAAAGAAGTTACAGAATTAAAAATTTGAGATTAAACTAAAGTGAAGTTAAATAAGGGGAATTCAAAGGGTTGCAATTAATAGCCGAGAAATAACATAATCAATAAATAAATAGAGTTGTAGGTTTGGAATATTTCGGATTCGATCATTAAGGAAAGATTGAAGACATATACAGTTTTGCATATGTGGTTAAGCAAATGTAGGAGACATTCCATTGTGGTATTAGCATTCATGATGGAGCTGGTAAAAATGCAGGAAAAGTATAATTTATATAATAATAAAAGGAAATCTTGTTACAGAAAAATGTTTTTGACTAATTGCCTGATTATTGTGCCAATGTATTGAAAATAGATAGTCGATATATTCATGAGTAGAATAAGTTGGGTGGAAACAAGAAAAAGTAAGAAGGTATGACCAGGTAGTGAAGTCATTAATTTATTTAAGTGAAGTCATCATTATATAATATAAATTTAATAATAGGCTATTCAATTATTATAAAATTATTCCATGTAATACAAAGTACTACTTGTGTTATTAGCAACTGCATGTTGCTTCAATTATCTTCCTGAAGTAGAAATTGATTTGAGTGCACCTCCAAGATAAAGATGGAAAGAGTCAGTCAGAACAGTTCTGACTTTATATGGATATGAAAATTCATTTGGCCCAGTTTTCTAATTTCATAATGAAAATACCTTCAGCATTTTGGCTCCTGAAGATTATATTACAATGGCAAATGCAATAAGAAAGAATTTCCCAGAATACTCATTGGAATTAGAAGGAATTGTTGAAGAATTCAATAGACCAGAAGTTACTTTCGAGTATTTGGCTGCATGGGCATACTTCCATGAAATCGGACACATAACAAGCGGTACTACTGAATGCACAGGAGTTCTATTATCAATTGGAGATCAAGTAATTCATGGAAGAAATATGGATTAATATCCAGGTTAAGCAAGAAATATCGTATTACACTTGACAGTTAAGAAAGATGGAAAATATTTAGGAGAATCTGTTGATTGGTATTGGTTCAAAGTCGGATTTGTTACATTGTTGAAATATAATGTCGCATCTCTTGAGGAGAATTGGAGGTTTGGCGACCCATTAAGCAAAGATCAACTTTTGACTTTCATTAAATAAGGAGTACCCTCATTAGCATGGGCATATAGAGAAGTGTTAGTAAATGAAAAACTGAACACCTTTGATAAGGTTGTATCATATCTTGAATAAAACAGAGTGGCATGTGCACTTTACAATGTCATTGGAGGAACAGGAAAGGATCAAGGAGTGATCATTTCAAGAGATCCATTTGAAACATATCCAACTATATCTTTGAGTAGTGTAACTTAAAGTTCGAATGGTTACAAGTACTTGGTTTAGACAAATTATGATCATTGGGAACCAGACCCTGAAGAAGATCAAAGAAGAACCATTGGAGAAAATTTGCTGGCCAAAATGCAAAATAATCTGTTAAATGAATTTGGTGTGTATGCTGTTATGGACACTTATCCTATCCACAACGAAGGAACATTCTATACAGTTATCATGAATGCCAAATACAACAGATTGATAGCATTTGGATAACCAAGTATCACATTATTTGATGATGAATGATATAATAATATAAAGATGATGAAGTCATCATAGATAATATTATAAAATCACTTTATTTTAAAATGTCATTTATAATAATAATATGAAGCTTGCCATTATCTTTTTGATATTAGCCACGACTTTTGCTTACACAATAGTTCCAACCTTAGACATCGACCTGGATGGACCAGCTAAGTAGAGATTCTAACCAGCAGTTTATTTAATATTAAATACATATGGATTTGATGCTTCATTTGGTGCTTTCTTTTCGTATCATAATGAAACTACCTTCAAACATTTAACATCAAAGGACTATGATGTTTTAGCTGCCTCCGTAAGGACTCATTGGCCTCAGTATGCTTAAGAATTGGAAGGAATTGTTGAAGCATTCAATAGACCTGATGTGACATTTGAATATATGTCTGCCTGGGCTTATTTCCATGAAATCGGTCACTCCTTGTCCGTCAATATTAGAGAATGCACTGCTATTCTATTATAAACCAAAGAAGGTATTATTCATGGTAGAAACATGGATCAATCTCCAGATGCAGGTAGATTACTTGTTGTTCATTTCAAATTCCTTAAAAATGGTCAATACATTGGTGAAGCTGTTGATCAATATTGGTTTAAGACAGGTTTTGTCACTATGTTCAAATACGGAGTTGTTTCCTTGTAAGAAAATTGGAGATATGGACACTATTTGCCATTATTTATGCTATTGAAAAAAATAGCTGCAGGAACAACCTCATTAGGATGGACATTCAGACATGTAAATAGTTTTTAAATTTATTTAGATCCTTGATTCTGACATTAATAATTTTGATGATGCGGTTACATATTTAGAAAATGTGATTGTAGCATGCTCACAATTCAATATTATTGCAGGTACTGGATTCAATTAAGGTGCAATCATTTCTAGAGATCCAATCTCAACTTACCCAACATTGTTCTTCAATAACACTGGATTAGGAAACGATCAATTCTAATATATGGTTTAGACTAACTATGACCATTGGCACAAGGATCCTAAAGGTGATTAAAGAAGAACAATTGCAGAAAATTTATTGGCTAATTTAACCAACACTATGCAAAATGAATTGGGAGTTTATAGTGTTATAAACACATACCCAATTCATAATGAAGGTACCTTTTACACAGCAATTATGAATGTTGCTACAGGTAGATTCAATTATTTTGGATAAGAAGGAATTACCCCATTTAATGATTTAGAGTGATTCTTTTTAATAAATCATAATAAAATCAATAGTCATTATTCTGGTGCTACTTACTTTTTGTTTATAATTTTTCTGGCCTGTTTTCTAAATTTTAATACGTCTTTATATGCATTTATCTGAGTTGCAAAAGACACTGGTTTAACTTCTAATATTGTGGGATCTTTTTTCTTGTATCTTTTAATAAACTCTGCAGGATATAGAAAATACTTGATGTAGAGATTCATATTGCTCAAGAATTTAGGATGATACTTAGTTGATATTTGTAAATTTGCTAAATTGTTATGAGTTTGATAGAATTTAAAATCTTTCTTATTTTCGAAATTTTCCAATTCCTAAAATTTATTGTTTAACTAATTATTAAGTTCTAAAACCAATAAGTCTAATTTATTTTGATCCTGCATGGTTAATGTGTTGCTTTTTCGTTGTATTCTTTACTAAATTAAATTAAGATTTTATTTTTGAACTACCATTGTCTATTATTTTGGTTGTACTCTTGGTTTTTCTACTTCTTTAGTAAACTTCAATTATTTTAATCTCTTTATAAAGGTGAAGGCTTATTGAAATTTCACTTTTACTTTCTTGGCCTTGTCCTCTTCTTAATGATTATGATTAGTGCTTTGATTGTTCTGAATATTGTCGGTCACTTTTTTTAATGCTGATTTCATAAAGTTTTATTTCATAGGACTGATTGCTGGTTTGATGGTATCTGACTGTTAACTAGATAATTAAATTGAAGTCTCATTCTTCTATTCTGAATCTTAAGATTAGGCTTTTTCATCAGAATTTTAAGTATTGACATTAATTGAATTCTATTAACCAAAAATAGATAATTTAGGTTATTATTGAGTTTCAATTAAATACGATGAAGTTCTGGGAATCATAGGGGAAATACTAGATTTTCTAGCTTATAGTTTTTTCATTTGATTTATTTCTAGTAATCTTGTGGTTCTGGTTTGTCTCGGAAACTTTTATGAAGAACTAAGTGATGGTTTAGATAATTCTTAGACAACTTCGTCTTTTTCATCATCCGAACTAGAGGAATGTTATGGAGATCCTGAAGCATTATTATTGCTAGGACTAGTTTGGCCATTCTCTAAATCCAAGTCATAAATTTGAGTTTCTTACCAAAAGTCATCCTAAATATATTCAGCTGTCTCTTTCAATACTTTGAAATCTAGCAAAGCATTATTATATATGAAGCGATTATCATATTTATTCGCATGCTTTCTAATTGACTTCTCCCTTTATTATTCTTTAACAAAGTTATAAGATTTGATGATTCTTTCTTTATCTGGACAAAAGTGAAGTAGAGGACAATCTTTTGATAGATGCTCTCTTGATTGACACACATAACAAGAAATATCTAAATTCTTAAGAGATTGCTTTGAGAAATTATACAATAGATCATCTCTAATTTGACAAAATTTTTCTCTGTCTTCCTGAAACTCTTTAAGAATTTTTAAAAATGCAGATCTAGGCAAAATAAGTAATTTAGTGAATCCAACACTTTTATATACTTCTTTCTGCTCCTATCCAGTAATGAAGTCATATAATCCAAAGAGACAACCAGGAGTCAATTTATGAAATGTAGTTCCTGGTGAGAAAATTTGATCAGATAATTGAACTTCAACTTCTCCTGATTCTATAAATGTTAGATAATTATTTTAATAAGCATCAGGTTCTGTGGAATAATCGATTATATTTTCAGGTTGGATTGAAACTGTTCTGATTTTTTTTACAAGAGCCTTTTTGAATTCATAAGAAAAGTTCTTCTAAAAGAGAGAGCAATTATTGAGAACAACTGAATTAGCTTCGACCATTAGTTCTTCTCTCAATTATTCTGATAATTATTCTATAATGACTTATTCCTCGTTTGATTATTGCGTATTTTCCATTTCCCAATAGTAATTTAAGTATTCTCTGATTTAAAATTGTAATTAAAAGCTGATCTTCTTTTTAGTCATGTAAGTGTTAATAATTCTTAATTTCTAGAGTTTCTACTCACTATATTTAGAGATCTCATCAATAATGGCTCCCACAGTATTCACACTGTATGGTAACTGAATACTAAATATCATTATAAAGATAATGCAAATAGTATATTCTAGATTGGCTGAAATATAATAATTTTATTACATTACGGAGTTAAATCTCCATATCCCACAGTAAACATAGTTACAGTACAAAAGTAGAAGGATCGTAAATATCTTTCAGCCCAATTATTATCTTCTAAATGATATTTGTCAATCCAACTAGATCCTAGATATTTTAGACCATAATTGCCTACCTAATTATATATTTAATATCATACTCCATACCAAATGCAGGTTGCAACATGTAAAATGAAAATTAAAAATATTATCAATTTTACGAGTTCTAAAATCGAGGCAGTAACTTTAGTCAAATTCAATACTTCCTCGCTTAATCTGATTAATTTTGTAATGTTTTAATACTAACCCACAAATGTCAGCAAGCCAACCAAAATGTATTGCTTTTCTTCTCGATATTCATCCCAATTTAGAAATATCAATACAAATAAATATATTACTGAAATGGCATCACAGCCGTATGCTTTACTTATTACATGATTAAAGATTTTAGATCTTTCATTTACAATAAGTCCAAATTGATAATAGGCAGTGTTGAAATTGAGTAGAATATCCAGCATTAATAGAATAGTCATAATAACTGTTAGGATAAATAATTAATGAGAGTATAAAAATTCTTGTTCAAAAGTTATATCCATTGGAATTAAGATAATAAAGTATAATCTGGATATTGATAGACAGCTATCCCATATTATCTTTTTTCTCTCTTCTGGCTAAAATATCCTGATATTTTAATCCCAATATTCAATTCTCTATTTAATTGTTGAACCTATTCTATTTATTATTTTTTCTATTTTCTAACTAAATGAGGGGACCTTTGGTAGATTCAGATTTTTAATCATTCCCAAAGGTCTGAAATTAAATTATCTTTGACCAAATATTTTAGGGTCGTAACTAGAAGCAGAGTCATTCAAAACATCTAAGTGATGCTTTTGTAATCTACTGAAAAGATGCATAGAACGCATAAACCTATTAAAAAACCTTCTAATCTATAAATATCTCATCATGTCCTCTCCTACAGTTGATTATGAATTTCGTAATTTTGAATAATTAGTTTAAAACGATGTCTGTGTGCCTGCATGAGGTGTTGGTTTAACGATTAATATTTCATTTGTTTTACATCCTTCATAACTAGGTGATACTATGGGACTGATCATAAAACTAAGTTATTAATCTTTAGAATTAGGAGGTGGTATTGCATCTTCATGCTTTCTTTTTATTTCTGGAACTGGAAAACCATGTTCCGATAATGATTTCTGACTAAGGAAATCAGCATATTCATCTTTTGGAAAATCGTTGATGATGAAGTTATTAACTCCAAATTCAGTTTCTAATGCCAGATGCATAAAGAAAATTAAAATGAAAGCAATTAATTAATATTATACTTTACCATTTTTAAAACTAAATATGTTTCCAACACTTACATCGATAGCCTATCACTATCTCTGACATTATTGAACTTGCTTTTTAACAGCTAAATTCAAAATCATAATACCTTAATAAAACATTTATTCATATTAATTTCAATATTCGAGCTATCATATTATTAAATGATTATGTTCATTAATCTATATTAATCTATATGTACTTAAATTAATTCTGTTACAATTCTTTTACAAATGTTTTTATCTCCATAAGGATTCAGCCATAATTAATAAATATTTTCCTTTTATGAAGTCCCTAATCGAAAAAATAGATCAAAGATGCAATTTTTATGAAGAAGAATTTGAAGTACAAGACATCATTGCAACACTTATAACTAAATAAAAATCCCATCTGAATTTTATAGAAGAATCTCAAGTTCCTAATTATCAATGCCAGAACAAACTTGAAAACGGTTATATAGTCTTTCAATGTTTTACATGTTCACAAAATGTAAATCATATGATTTGTCAAGAATGTTTTGATTTCGAGAGACATACAGGTATCAAAAATTTATTTTATTTAGGCCATTAATTTGTCCCCATCGGCACTGGAGGCTAATGCGATTGTGGAAATTCTAATGTGTTTCAGCAATCTCTTTGCAATACTCATAACAATGAACATTAGTAAGGAATCAACCAAAATTTATAAATACCCTAAGATTTATGTTAAAATCTAGAAAACTTTATTAAAGCTTGTGCAACCTTGTATGAGTAATATTCAAAACTAATTCTCAAATAATAAAATTAATTCCCAGAGACAGCAATTAAACTCTATAGTTTTAGCTTGGATTTCAACTTGCCAAATCTCTAAAATCTAATTGAATCAAAATTCCAGATTGCCACATACACTACACTATTATCTAAATGCCAATTCTTATTTGAGTTATTCTATAATGCCATAGAATTTTTAATCAATGATAACCCAACTTTATAACATTTTATTGCCTATTTACTCTAATAGCCTCTTTAGCCTGACTCATAATAAACCATTTTAGAATCCATTATTCAATCTTATGGAATAACCGAACATATTTTCCAACTTTTTGATCTTTCTCTCGATTTAACAGATCTGATCTATAGGCTTTTCAAAAATTAGTTTAAATAGTTATTCACTTAATTATGTTTGAAAAAATAGCAAACCTTAATTTCATATCATAAAATAGTAGTAACCCCAAATAATGATATTATTCAAGAATTAATAACTGAAATCTACGATTCTATACAAGATGACGAAGAATTTACTATACAAGATGATAACACAATTTAAGATATAATGAATTAAGCCCAAATTTATTTTCAAGCTCTATTTACTTCAAAACTAATAAGTGTAGATGCTAGAAACTCTCAACTTGTTACTTGGATTACGTCATTTTAAGATAAATAGATCCTGGAGGAGTTCATATTTGGAAATTATACTTGTGAACTATTCAAAGCAATTTAGAAACAGTATTAATATTTCCATTAACCAAATGAATATATTATTTCAGCTCCAATTCAGCCTCTTGAACTTATCGATACTTAATTATAATAAAAAGAGTTTGGAGAACTCTGCATGATCCAACTCTAATAAATCTTTGGAAAGGATTTTAATTATTTTTTGAATCAGAAAGTTAATAATAAATTTTTAAGAAACTATCAAATGAATGATCACATCATAACAACTTTAATTAATAGTTTAAGTGAAGCCTTTCCAGCTGTGTATGAATCTTATAGACAAGAAAACAACATTCCACTCAATGCTTATGCTAAAAAAGATATGGAAATTTACATCAGTTATTAAGGATATGCTCTGGATATTGTAAATTTGTCAATCCAGAACCTATTTTCATCAAAACTAAGCACAATATAATTTTAAAAGAATTTTATAGATTTGTTGATAGTGAAATGCTATAATTTTATCAAACTCAAACGAAATATCTTTTCATCCTTTGATTTTGAAATTAAAAAACTTTATAATCAATATTTGAATAACTTGAATTAAACAAATGATTAAAAGAGCATCATGATAATATCAATGTGCTTACACCTTTTCAAGAATGCATCACTATTGGATAAAATGTTTATTATATTTTTATATGTACATTTTTGTTAAAAGGAATATAAAAATCCAGCTGATTTTAGATAATATTTATCAGAACTATTGGAAGAGCCAATAGAAATTATCAAAAACAATCTACAAAGAATTTTATTAAGAAGCATTTAAACCTTTACAACAGTATTTTACACTGAAGATGGAGACATTATCAATAGTTATTATGGATTTAGTGATTCTTCCATCAATTTTAAAAATGAGTCAATTGACACAGCATTTGGTAAGTTATATATCTTTCTATTCGATTAAATTGGACTAGCAGATATTTATTAAGCATTTCAAGTGATTTAGCTTCCAACCATGGTATAGACATGTGAAATAACTTAGTATTTATTTAATTCTATTTTAGTAATTACTTTATGAGAATGATGACTTCAGATTTGGATGTATTCAATATATGCATAGTCTATTTTGACAAAAATGACAATTTACCAAACATTTTATAACAAGCGTTATAGAAAGCAATATAAAACATTTTATGTAGTTCCTCTTATTATCTTTACTCAACAATAATCAATAAATTCTAATCTATTGGCATATCAGTAACACCCCATTTAGAAAAACATATTTTAAAAATTTGCAATTTTGACACTTCAGTAAATAAACTGACTTTAAAAAAAGCATACAAATAGATTTATGATCCTAATTTATTGATTTTAGATATAAACTTTAAAGCAGTATTAATAGAAAAGCTTCAAAATAGTTAGGCGACTTAAAGAATGCTTACATTCGGAAATGGCCTCGAATATGACATCCAACAATTTAATTAACCAGATTATCATTATCTTAGAAAACTTATTCTTCAAGTAATGTGTTCTGTTCCAACCTTATTTTAAAGTTTTAATTTAATGAATTCAGGTTTTATAGAAACTGAAGTTTTCTTGTAATTTATTTACTATTAGCTTATGTGTGCAAATTACTTCTATAATCAAGAACTAAAAGCTTAGACACAAAATATACTAAATTAATTACACAACTTAAGAGGGAATCAAAAACTTTAGGGGTTGTAACTTCACTTTGAACAGTTAATTTTATTATTGCAGAAGTAATCATTTAATGGTGATATTCCTAATCTTTCTCTTTCTAATATTTCTAAATAAAAAGCATAAGCATCTAAATCTAATTACAAACTCAAATATGGTAAATTGAAAAACTCAAAATCTTTATTGAATTTAATGAATTAGCACTTCCAAAGCGATTCAAAATTATAATAATGTGATATTTGTTAGTAAGAACTTTAATCAAACAAAGTTTTATTAATCTACTTATCATAAAGAATACCTTCAATCAATTATTCAATCGTACCCTAACTAATTGAAGAAGCATAAAATACAATAAATTATTCTACAACTATCTCAATTTAAAATTGCTATCATAAATATCATGCACATTGTTTTGAAGAGGCTTTTCTAGATATTCTTCATAATAAATCTTAAGGTATTCCAGAATGGCAAAAATATGCTTGTCCAATCTGTTTACATTGCTTCAATGTCTAAATAACAATGAATGAGGATATCAGTCCATCATAATTGCAATCTTTTAATTAATCTTTATTATTTATAGTCAAATAATTAGGTGAATAATAAGCAATAGTGTAAAAATATTAATCAAATGAATTTTTCATGTTAGTAGAAATATACATGTAGATGGTAATAAATTTAATTTAAAACCTATTTATCAATGTTTAAGAGTTCTAGCGATTATAATAGAATTTAATACTGAAACAATTAATAGCATCCTTAGGTTTGACAATAGAAAATTTTAAAATTTGTGGATTCATTCATGATATAGATTATCATTTTGAATCTGAAAAGTCTATTTTAATCAGTCTATTAGATACCATTGATAAACATATTATTAAAGCATCAAATTAAACGTTATTAAAAGATGAAGTTCTAAAGTTAGCAACCAAATTTTATCATAGCTATCCATAATAAATGGAGATTTTATGTTAATGCTTTGGAGTGGAAATTGAAAAAAACAATAATTAATAATTATAATTAAAGGATGAGTTTGCTGAATATTATGTATTATTGTAAGAACAATTAAGAAATTAGATAATAAATGTCTTGGGTGACAATTTTTAAAAATTTCATGACACATTCTTTCCAAACTAATGTCATTATTGTTAATCATATAATGAATAATTTTCTGAGGATATTCTTGTTTGTATTTTATGTTCAAAGGTGTTTTGCTTTAAGAATTGCTCAAACTTTGAATATGGTAATCTAAACATGCATGCATTATAAGAACACAATTCCTCATCATTTTATGTCAGCTTGATAAATGGAAAGCTAGTTCAGATTTAAGTGCCTCTTGGCAATTATTAATAAAGGATATTGTATTCTAACAAAAGAAATGGAAATCCAATAAGAAATGAAAGTTATAATCTTCTTAATGAAAATTGGAAAGATTTTGAAATAAGTCAAAATAGAATTAGAGAAATAGCTGATGTTATTGTTTGGAATAACTATTAAACAGGATTTGCACTGCTGCAAATTAGTGCTGACCATTTCTATTATTAAGGGGAGTTATGAGTTAATTTTTAAAAAAATAAATTCATTAATAATATTATTTGAATTTTTGCCTATTAATTTAAAATATAAAAAATATCAAAAAATGCAAAAACTAATGATTAAAGATTTGCATTTTTAAATAAAATTAAAAGAATATTAAAAATACTAAGATATAAATAATTGAATAAATATCAGATTTATATATAATAATAATATTAAAATCCTTATGTCATTCAATCAAAATGTGAGTGATATAGGATTTACATAGCAATCTCCGAATCGAAATTTTAACCCTATGAATTCTTCTATGTAATTCATACCAGATCTTCATTTTGAAAACTAATCTGAGGAGTAAATTTCACCAAGAAAGGAAATTATGAAAAAAGGGATTTTGAAGACCTTTTATTATTAGGTACTATAAGATAGAGACATAGGATATCAAAAGAAGAAAGTTGATAGGGTGTAACATATATGTAAATCAAATGAATGAATAGTAATTATAATTATCTAAAAGAGGAAGTATATTTTATTGCAATAACAAAAGTTGCTTGTAGAATTTGTATGAATGAGGAGGAGACTTCCAGATTTATTATGCCTTGTGCATGTAAGGGAAGTTTACAATACGTTCATGAAGAGTGCTTAAAACTTTGGATCCTTTAGAAAAATGGGATAAACGATGTATTTTAAGACAGAGTATACATTAAATGAATAATTAGATTAAATGTGAATTATGTTCATAAAAGTTTCGTATGAAAATGTAGTTGCACAATCATTTTGATAAATCTAGGTTTTGGGATGTACCAAAACAATAAAAGATATGTTGGCTTATTTAACTACTCATTATAAGTGCTATAATATGTTCTTTAGTTGGTATAGTTTCATACTATGAAGTGTTACTAAAATTTGTAGGGTTTTCCAGCATAGGAGTTGATGCTGTCATGACAATATTGATTGTATTGTGCGTATTAGTGATAATTAAATTTGGAGTTGGTGTGATTCAGTTTCATTTAATAGAAATGATTGAGGATTGGACTATAAGTAATTATAGAGTAAGAAAGGAGATAAGATAGGGTAGCATCTTTTAATTATAATCTTAATTGGGAAATAGTGTAAATGGAAGTCCTTTGGCTAAGAAGAAAAATTTGTAAATTCATCCGAATGGACCAACTATGTTATAGGTTGTTTAGGTTGGCTAATTGGCTTCTTGTCCAATTATATCAGAATGATGAAAATATTTTAATTATTTATTTGCTTAAAATCATAATTTTTTGTGTTAATGAGTGATGATAGAAATTAGGCAATTACTCCAAATACAAATTTCGTGGTTTTGAATACTTCTGATCAAGGAATTAGTGAAAATATTATATTGAAAACATAGAAATCAAGATCAAAAATATTAAAGACTATTTACTCTAGAGTAATATTTATGAATTAGACTAGAGGATTTGGTAAGAAAGAAAACTGTTGGTTGTAGAATATATACAAATGAGATAGTTGAAACAGTTCAATCAGAGCTTAGTATGATATCAATAAATTAGAAAAAAATTGCAGAATCTGTATTTAGGATGAAGAATCTTCACAATTCATTTCGCCATGTAAATGCAAAGGTTCCGCTTAATTTGTACATGAAGAATGCTTAAAAATGTGGACTTTAGAATAATTCGGTGTAAACAAGATATACAATAAAAATGTAACTCAATATATATTTTAGTTAATTTGTGAAATTTGCAAACATAAATTAGATTACAGAGTAAACTTTGTTGATCGATTTGATATCTGTTAATTTAAGAATATCAAATTGACAACTAAGTTCTGCTGGATAATTTAAGTAGTGTTTATAGCACTATGTATTTATGCCTCAATTTCAATTGTTTCAAAATTCGGAATCGATTCATTATCTACAATATCAATAGTAGTAGTGATATGCTTGATACTCCTTGTGATAGCAGTCAATCTCAGTTTCAGTGTCATCCAAGCTCATAAAGTGGAGATGATTGAGAATTGGCAATTTCAGAACTATAAACCCTCAAATAAAGCGTTACATAGCAAACGGCAAGTCCCTAGCAAATTTTAGAGAATGAATCAGATACATTGTCTTTGAGTATAGATTCCTTCGATATTTTGGTTAGAAACATATAATATTAAATTAATTATTAATTTATGTCGAAATAGCAATGGACACTATTGACTACGGACACCTAAAAACTATAATTATTTGGTATGCAAGCCAGGGTCACAACAAATTATGGTGATGTGTTTCAAGGACTCATATATTATTGTGATGAATCAATCATTATATTAAGTATGAACGAAATTGCAATTAAATAGAAAATGAAGATGACTTTTTTTTAATTAATCAGCAATAAATACAAGATCTATCAACCATTGATATTTAAGATCCTAAAGTATGCGTTCCACTAAGCGTAGTAAACGTTATAGAATTTGTTGGCTATCGATTTGGCAGCCATGGCCCAAGAGATGATAAAGAAGGAAATGAAGGAACCCCATTAGCAATTATTCGATCATCTCTAAAAGTTGTATAGAGATGTAGATTGGAAAGACTAGGAGATCATCATTCCGTCTATTTCAATCAGAATTTCACCGCCTTATAAATCAGGTAATAATTGTGAGTGATCTATCTATTAGACAATATATCTGGAGAAAACAAATTGGGAGTTGAAAGACTAAGGAAAATTGTAAAGTATATAGTAATGAACTTTTTATGTAGGTTGATAAATATGCCAAAAATTTTTGAATATAGTTAAACATTATATAGATAAATATAATATTTTTACATTGCAATTTTGCAATATTTATTTTTATGAATAATCGAGAAGAGGAAAAGCAGACCCAATAAATGGATGATACGTAAATATGTAATTTAAGTAAGAGCAAATAATAATGATGAGGAGTAGAGGTAATAATATTTATAGGATTTGCAAAAAAGAGTGAAATAATCAAGAAAATAGCCTGATTGCTTTGAATGCTGTTTTGCATATTGGCTGTTCATCTTTTTAGGATTTGTATTTAGATAACTCTTCTTAAACAAAATTAATGAAACGCCTGATGGTTGCGACTTCATTGGATAAATTATAACAGTTCTGTTAATTTTGTTTTCGCTCTCTGCTTTTTGTAGATGCATTGATGGTTGCTGCATTTTAATACCCTGCAAAAATACTAGTTGTTTTCATTTATCATTAAGATTTCACGATCTCAATAATGATATCAATTATCAGACATGCAAATGGAGCTTGATTATATTGACTGTTATTTGGCTACTCAATTATAGTTGCATTGTATTTTGGCCTATGTTTATTTTCCTATTGATCACCTGGATATTAATATTAGTATGGAAGCGAATGGAAAATGAATGATAGATTTATTGAATAATAATTTTAAAACGAAAAAGAAGTAAAAACGATTTTTAATAATAATATAAATTATGATTAAGGCAATTCTCATCTGTGTCCTATTATTGTCAGTTACTGCAGGACATGTAAGAAAACCACACAAAGCAGTTCACAACAAAAAAGCAAGAACCTTTAATAGCGCTTTCTTTGAATTTTAGAATTTAGGCAATGAAGATTATCATTTGAGTGCAAAAGAAGCCTGTAATTATTAAATTCTCTATGTTTTTGTTAGAACATTGGGCCCAAATTACAACAGACGTAGAGACTAAAACCAAAAAACACACATCATTCACAGAAACTCATTCTGAATATGTTCCAGGAATTGTCGGTGAAGTAGTGGATCTTTCAAATAATGCCGGTGTTATTTCCTATACAGCCACAGATATTAATGGAAATATTCTTTAATCTGAATCAGGAAACGATTTGGCTAGTAAAATGAATGCAGCCTATCTTGAAATGACTTCTAAAATTTAGGATTCAACAACATAAAACCAATGAGATTTATACATATAAATAAAAATATAAAACATGTTTTCTGTAGTCTTTCCTGCTATTGAAAATACATCATTTCAAGCATCCTAATTAAATTACATCATATCCCTTATAGCTGTTATGTATAGTGGAGTTCTGTTGAAAGGATTTCTTTATAGTACAAAAAATACAACCCAATCTTATTAAATGGAATGCAAAATTAAAATCTTGGAGAAGGATGATGAATAGTAAAAGATCTAATGATTTAACTAATTGCCCTCTTTGTGTAGACATGGTTACTTAAGTAAGGAGATGAATAAGATTGAAAGGACAAAAGAATATTTATATTTTTTATTTACTTTAAGAAATAGTTGTTTTGCCAAACAATAGTTTTTTAAATATTATTTAATATTAAAAGTGTAGCAAAATTTACTAACACCTTGCAATTTAGTTTATTTGTAGGTTGAATTCTATTAAAAAATGGTTGTTCTGATAAAATTTTGGGGGATATTACAAAATGAAGCTAGTTAGAAATATTAATATAACTAAATACTTTAGGGCATTATATAACGAAATGATTATGCAACATTAAAATAAATAATAACACTCTTCGAGTAGAAATATAGATGGTACTTGAAGATCGATTGAATAATCAAAACTACTAATTTAAATGGCGCATAGGAATTTGAAAGATGATTCAATATATTAACAGAAATTTATATATTAATTAATTATAATTCCTGATGAAGAATGGAAAAACGAATTTTTCTGGTAATTATAAGGAATATGATAATACAATATTCATTATTATTTTTTATTTATGAATAATAAAACGCTGCTTATAGTGTTATTACTAGCTTGTACGCTAGGAGGTATGAGTTTATAGCTAATTTTAGCTCAACAATTCATTTAATTGGGAAGCAATCTCAAATTGCATAGTTTAAGTGAATTGCATCAATTGGAGACTAATTCTTTAGAATGTACTCCTATGTTGGGAGAAGTGAGCACTTCTATTGATGCATGGTCAGAAATCTTAGAGAATTAAGACTAGCTAAACACAGATTCTAATAATCTTTAGTAATTAAAGGTCGCATTATAAGATTTTCGTGGAAATGGCTATGATGATGCAGAACCTGGTAATAAATCATTATAAATTGTAGTATTGTTGCAATTCAGAAATTCGTTCTCAGATATTATGAGTCAAATAAGTGCAGAACATTTATAAATCACACCTTATTAAAGATGGAGAAAAGATAGTGCTGTGGAGTTACAAGGAGTTGTAAGTTTATTAGATACTGCTGAGAATGAAAAAGACTTGGAATAATGTTGTGATAAAATAGAAGAATTAATAAATAGATTAATGAAAGAGAGGGAACAAGTGAGAAATCAATGCTAGAAAGGACCATAAGTAATTATTCTGTTTGATATAATTAGATTACAATCAACATTATAAATTCTAAGGCTGACGAAGTAAGAGAAATTACTAAAGAATGTTCTGATGGCCAAGGCACCATCGTCAGAATTAAACCAAAAGAGGATGATAACCAAATAATCATCCCAGCAAAACCTGATGGCTAATAATAAGGATAGGGTGAAACCAAAAAGCCTATCCAACCAACCTAGCCAGTCAAACCAATTCCAGCTGATAGAGTTCCAGAAGGAGATGATTAATAGGAATAAAGTGTTTCTGAACCAAGTAGTACAACAGACGAAGAAGATGATGAAGATTCCTCAAACAAAAAGAAGCCAGCTGACTTTACTAACCCAGATCCTGTTCATTAGAAGGAAGTAGAAAGTTAAGTACCATTGACTGAATATGGTTATGGATATTGGGCTAAATTTACTTTAGCATATCCTAAATTCTTACCTAATGGAAAAGATGCACCTTGGTACTTTGTCTCTAGATTGAGTGCAAATAAGAATGATGAAAATATCAATATGGGAGACAGATTATTAGCTGTTTGGTTAGGTAAAGGATATTATCATTTCACAACTTGTGATCAACCAAAGAATCAACCAAATGTTGCACAAAATGTTAATTATCCTGAAGATTTTGATGGAATTTGGACTTATATTTACTATTCTTACAGTGTTGACAAAAAGAAGGCTGTTGCTTTTATCAAATTTGGAAATGATGATCTCAAAAAGATTACTCATGAAGTTTTGAATCCATCAACAAAATGGGTTAGATTCACTATTGGAGGTAAAGATTAAAATAGATATCCTGGTTTCAATGGTTTGATCTAATAAATCTATTTCAGTACTAAACCAGGTGTTTTCCTTGATTCTGAGGATGATGTTATTGGTAAATTGTAAGCTTAAAAGAAACAACCAAAGGATTTCTTGCCTGAATTAATTACTTATAAAGTGGTCTCAAATCCATAATAAAGAGATCCAGATACCAAAGAAGTTCTTTCTATTGTTGGAACAACAAAGAATCCAAAATTCCCACATGAGTATGCCTTCAGTGGTTGGTTCAAATGGGAAGCACCAAAATAACAATAAGATTGGCATAACATTTTCAGAGTTCAAATCCAATAACCATCAACTGATAAATTCTTAGGAGATAGAACATTGTCTGCCTGGGTTGGTAAACAAGATGGAGGTATTATCCATTTGCCAACTTATACATACACTAATTTAGAAGGTGCTGGAAATCCAAATGTTATTAAGAATATCCCACACTAAAACAGACACACAGAATGGTTCTTTGTTTATTTTGGATATTCAAGACCTTAGAAGAAAGCTGTTGCTACAATTCAATGGAAAGACTCTACTGAAAAATAAGAATATGATAACATCAGACACTTCCAAGTTCCAAAATTCTACATATTTGTTGGAAAGGACAAATAATTCCCAGGATTCAATGGTAAGGTTGCATTAGTTGCTTTCAATGTTGGAGAGGGATCTTTCAAACCAAATAATGACTTTTCTGGAAAAGGAGATCCATTTAGTTTTGACAGTGGTAAAAAGAAGTTGATTGGAGTTCAACCAGAAATTGATACTGAAGAAGATCCAGAAAAATAAAAGAAACCATACAAAGTAGTTGATGATGTAGACACTGATGGCTTGACTAGACCAAGTTCAAGTGAAGAAAACAAACCAGTCATTGAAGAAACTTAAGAAGATGATAATGAATTAGTTGAATATGGTTATGGATTCTGGATGAGATTCTTAACAGCTTATCCTGATAGATTATTGAATGGAAAGAATGCACCATGGTACTTTGTTTCTAGATTGACTTCAAATATGAATTACAAAAACATTGAAATGGGTGACAGATTATTAGCCATCTGGTAAGGATAAGGATATTACCATTTCACCACTTGTGACTAACCAAAGAACTAAGCTAATGTAATTCAAAATATCAATTATCCAAATGATATTGAAGGTTTGTGGACCTATGTTTACTATTCATACAGTTCTGAAGCTAAGAAAGCTATTGCCTTTATTAAGTTTGCAGATTAAGAACCAAGAACAATCTTACACTCAGTTCAACATCCAGCTGCAAAGAAAGTCAAATTCATTTTGGGTGGTATGGATAATAAATAATACCCTGGATTCAATGGTTTATTCAGTTAAATCACTTTCTCAGCTAGACCAGGAGTATTCCTAGACACAATCGAAGACTTTTCAGACTAATTGAAGAGAACAATCATACCAAAATAAGATTTGGATTAATTCTACAATCATGAATTAGTTTCTGATATTGTTTCCAGAAAACCAAATGACATTCCAGATTATGATGAAATTGGAGGTGGACAAGAAATGTTCCCACATGAATATGCCATTTCAGGATGGTTCAAATGGGAATAAACTTAATAATAAGTGTGGCACAATGTCTTCAGAGTACAAATCAAGAAGCCATCCACTGACAGATTCTTAGGAGATAGAACATTATCTTGTTGGATTGGTACTGCTTAAGGTGGAATCTTACATTTCCCAACATACACATACACTAATATGAATGGAGCAGGTAATCCAAATATGGTCAGCAATATCCAACACAAGAATAGAATTTTCGATTGGTTCTTTGTTTACTTTGGATATTCAAAGAATTAATAAAAGGCATTTGTTGGAGTCAGATTTGCAACAGGTATTGAAACCTTAGAGTATAACAATGTCAATCATTATTATGCACCTAAATTCTACACATTTGCTGGTAAAGACATGCACTTCCCAGGATTGAATGGCAAATTGGCATATGTGAACTTTAATTTAGGAGATGGAACATTCAGAAAGACTCCAGATTTCAAACATCCAGATGATATCTTCGGATTACAGAAAGGTGAAATCAACATCCTCAAAAAACCAGATTCAAAGAAAGTACAACCAGAAGTTGACAAAGAAACCGGAGAAACCTAAATTCCAAATGCAGTCTCTGACAATACACCAAAAGTCACCAAGGAATTCAAATCAGAATAACCTCTTGCTGAATATGGTTACGGATTTTGGATGAGATTCTTAACAGCTTTCCCAGTCAAATTGCCAAACGGAAAGAATGCACCATGGTACTTTGTT